GTTTCTGTTTCTTTTCATTGATCGTCTTAAGTTGGTGGATTTCGCGATTGGTGATCAGTCAATATGACGCTCATGAATATTAACTATGAATGCGCCCTCATACGGCCTACTAAATGAACAGCAAAGACATTTATTGTGTTTTCAGCCCTAGCTCTCATGGTTTAGATGAATATTGGTCTATCACTGCCATAGTAAAAATTAGACAGCCCTCGTTTATTTTGACGAGCCGGGAGCTTACATCGAGGTGATGACTGCAAAAACTGGCGCTAATAGTTATCGAGGGGGGAGAGGCATTTCAAGGACTCTTTCTGCAGAGCTAACATCATCGAGGGAGGGGGTGGGGAACATTCCAAGGACTCTGCAGAGCTAAGAGTATCGTCACACGAATTAAACTATTATACTTCGTATTGCCTTACGCTGGAGATCTTCTTTGAGCCCAGACAAGAGTCCCCGTCTTGACTACGGTAATTCTAGTTCTGCACAAGGAGCCCTACGAATGACCAGCTTGTGTTACTAGCGCATACAAATCTCCTTGATTGATATAGAATTGCAGGAGCATCAACTGCGTATTTAACATGCGGGATGACCGACCAAAACGCCTACGTTTAATTGATTTTTCGTACTTCTCGACAGATTTGGAGCTAACCGAATGACTATCTTAGATAGTACGCAGATATTCGATCCCTGTCAAGCTTATGTGAGATCTGATCAATAGGAGTTCGACGCCAGAGCACGTCATAGTGAGGGAGGGGAGGGCTGAATGAGATCCACATTTCATCTCCGGTACAACCCCTCTTCCACTATCCACCGATCATTACAAATTTCCCAAAAATTATCTTTAGCGGGTGGGGGGAGGGGTTGGAGCAGCCATCTCCGAACAGTCACCAAAAATAGAAAGTTTGCAGCGCCACCGAACAGAGAATATATAGTGTACGTGTAGTAGACAAAATCAGCGACAGGAAAATTGTTCTCTCTAGCCAAATACGATCCTCTCGCCCCTCCAGCGAGCAAGTACGGCCCCTGTCTGGACATTCCTCACAACGGTGTGCCATGCTCGACACAGCGTCGGAAGCTTTTCCTACGCTCTTGTCTAGACATACATCCTCCTTTCTCATTCTTCTTCAATCATAGTTCTGTTTTCCAATCTCGCCACCCTCGAAGTTGACATCGGCTTGTCGAAATCTACTTTTAACCCACTTAATGTCTCGGCTTAGGGGATGTGGTATTCCGCTTATTTTCCTTTGATAAGTTTTCACTGCTTTTACCTTTCTTGTTCAAGTGTAGTATTTTCAAGCGGCTGTTTGACGAAGGAAGTCGCTTTTGTAATCTTATTAAAACCCGCAGATGATTGCTGCAGTGGATCCTCTGCGGAGCCGACGTAATTGTTATTGTTTTTGGCCAAGGACTTATACTGGGGCATTTCCATGGGTGGAATTCCAAACAGTTCTTCTCTTAGCCAGCTAGGGTTCTTTCACATGTTTTTCTCTTTTTCTTTCATTTCTTTGAAGTCATTTCTCGGGCATGAACTGCTAGTTACTTCGGCCTCATTTTTCCTTTGCTCATTTATTTATTTTTGCGGTCTCCTTTTTCTTGACACGCAGTACAGTGGCATTTGGTGAGGAAAGAAAAATAAGACTGGTTAAATATGTTCCTCTGCTGTAGCGCGCCACCAATCCGTTATTGCTCTGAGCAGAATAGCGAAATGCCTGTGAGTTCGTTAGCTGAGATCCAGCGAAAATCCTTCTTTATTTGTGCACAGATTTTTGGCTACGCTCTACATTTGATACCACCTAATACCGGACAGCGAACTCACAGGCATTTCGCTATTTTCCTCAGAGCGATAACGTATTGGTGGCGCACTTCAACAGAGGAACATATTTAACCAGTCTAATTTTTCTTGATGTTTCTCTTTGGTCTGGTATGGGAATAATTTTTAGCGTATTGGCGACGACGCCCACCACCTGTGATAGACAGCTGAAGCCTTTACCACCATCACTGACCACCTTCCCCTTCGGGCAGCGTGGGCGCGACGAAGTCCAACAACTGGTTGTGTGTGATTGTGGTCGCGAATATGTGTTAAGAGATGTACCAAGTTGTTTTATTATGACAATTCCGCGTTATTATAACAATCCCGACAATTCACGCCGCACACAGCAATGCTGTTTTATGGGCAGGAGTCTTAACTCTGGGCGGGATCGAACCCCTATCTCACACTTTTCGACTGGATGCGCTATCCGTTGGTTAACAAATAGTCGATGTCACTCCTTAACATAACGATGGTTAGTATTAGTAGAAGCTGTTTTAGCGCTAATACTCTATGTCACAGCTCCATATGAAGAGCATAAATCCACTCGAGTTCACTTTATTCTTTCCTCGCGCCATAAATTCCACTTCCATCGCGACTTTTGAGCCCGTATCGGCCCAGGAAAGAGCTCATGGCCTGCCATAATTTTTCGGTATGTTTGTTCTCCTCTTATTTAATGAACGTTTTCGGTAATACCGAAGGTTTGGCCTAGTGTGATTTGATCCATTATTTGATCAGACCATGCCTGTGGAAAACCCCCACTTCCCGATCCCGTATGTCCTCAAGTTTTTGCGATCCGTAGACATCGTCTAGGACCTCCAAGATGTTGTGATATACAGAAATCAGCAAAGTACATCCTAGATACTTGGCGCGATATACTGCAGCACTTCGACCTTAAAGATCTGATTGTGGTGGTGCGAGCGCCACGGACGTGACGCTAGTCGCAAAGCGGCAACGTTGCAACATGGATTTTCCTAAAGGACACTCCTACCTAGTCTTAGCATTCAATTCATTGACATTCGGATGCTTAGTAACTAGTTTTGTTTTTGAATCGGCTAAGAAATAATTGTCGAAATGCGCGAGACGTAAGGAGACACTACCTACTATGTCGCTGGCAGTCTTTTTTCGAGACCTGATTTCTTCGAGGAACATGCATTTCTACTATCACAATTATTCAAGTGTTGGCTAGAGCTCTTCAGCTGAGTGAATAATTCAATACGCAAACTGCAGCACGGCACCTGTCGCTTTCATACACTTGTGTTGCACTTGAATTTGAGTAGGAAAGTGTGTGAAGGCTACCTTTTTCCGCTTCATTGAGTTATTTCACTGTTGAGTCGTCATCCCATTCTCAGCGGTAGAACTCTTGAGAATTTCTTTAAGTTCCGGCTTAGATCGATTCCTTGAACATTTTCATAAACGGCGTCAGGCGTGGCCAGTGCTTTCAAAAGGAATTGCATTTGTGTAATGCTTTGTCTCTGGAAAGCCCTAGGCGATCTTTCATGAGAGCTAATGGATCTAGATTTTGACATCAGCATTACGTCTCCAAGAATTCCTCTTCATTCTCTAAAGCATGGGCTCTGGACGGGCCAAGCATGCTCGGTTTGGCAGGTGGATTTCGCCCACTTCTTGATAGCTATCGGTTTAACATATTTTGCACTTTGTTTCCATAACTTTTAATTTACTTTCAAGAAAGGTAATGGTGAGATATGCTCAGAACGTTAGGCACTAGCCAATAATTCAACCTGGTGCTCACGCTTCCTGAGCTAGAAACTTTGCGAGCATGAGGTCTACATGGCTTGAAAGGAAATCTTTCTGCTCTACATCTTTCTCTTTTGTTTTGGCAAATTTCTTGTGTCTGTGACTTTCGCAGCTGCCGACTTGGAATTGATTAATCGACAAATGTTTTTCCTCAAGTGACTTCGTTCCAGGGGAGCCACGTTAGAGAGTGATGGCGTTGCTGTTCGATCCGCATTTTACCTTGCTCCGAGAAGATCAGAGCGTGAAGCTGTTTCAAATTGATTGCCTCGTCAATCACAAAGCATTCGGTAGATCGTTGATCGATTATTACGGATAAAACTGTTAATTCTGAACTGTTGATTAGACTCAAGTCTTGGAAGCGTTGCAAAAAGACGTTTTCAGGAGGTTTGGCTATCCTTCTGGTGGCGATCTGGATGGGGGGTTATGAAGACGGATTTTCATGGTCCGAAGATCCTGAGCGTGAATTTCATTATCATCCCACGTTCATGGTTATGGGAGATTGGTAAGGTTCTTCATTCTGGTTATCCTTCTTCCTCTTATGCTTAGATCGAAAAAAATTGATAATCTTTTCCTGAAAGTTATCTTTCTGCTGTGTACAACCATTCATGCTCTGATATAGTCAAAACACAAAAAAAATGCAAATAAAAGCCAAAATTTACGCCGAACGTAATCGAAGCTCAAATGCTATGAGTGCTGCTGATGTTTTTTAGTTTTATTTTAATTCTAGATTCTGGAAGGCGGTTTTCACGTACGACTTAACTACCCAAGTTTACTGGGCATTTGCTTTTTTCCCAACTCGAATGATCCAGACGAGCGACCGTGACGACCAAACTCTCTCTAACACTTATCGGTTGGCGCCCAACAGCAATTTTGAAAAAAAGAATCTTGAGTGTGATTGTATTAGCCGTTGAAGATGTCCTCATGGTGTAGCATAGTGAATCTCAGTTATATCCCCGAATCGCGCGATAAAATCGCTCAAGCCGTGAAGTATAGCACTGCAATAGACATTGTGCCATCTGAAAATATATCAGGAAAAAATTGAAAAAAGGAAATTTTATGTCTCGGCGGTGGTTATTACGTAAATAACTTATTTCAGGTGTTCCTGTTAGGAGAATCAATGCTGGTATATCGTGTGTTCCGTAATGAGCGTAAAAAGTTCAGTAAAACCCTGCATGTCTGTCTACATTCAATGGTGTTGGTGTTCATGATCATAGCCCTCAAAGCTGTATGGGATTCACACGATCTTCATAGAGATGCGTTAGGTATTGTTATGGTTATTTCAACTATTTGTTCACTTTTCCTGCGAAACGTCAGCATTATTTTCCTACGAAGTTTTCTTTGCAATGAAGCAAAAGGAACGGACAAGTAATCCGTGCGGTGCGCATAATACCGATAGGTCCAGTAATTAGAATTTGCACAGGTCAAGCTCTAGGGAACTGTTTGACCTTTTTTTTCAACTATAGAGCGGAATTCATGCTCGGATTTAGTAGGTCCCGTCACAGGATTCGCCTGCAAGCAGTGCTGTCAGTGGCTTTAGCTCTCCCAGGGTCGCGCCTGAGCATTCATCAGTTTTTTGATCATTGTCAGTGCGCGGACTCCTAGTGATCAGTCTTTTTATTTGTGAGACGAAGAAATGGGCAGCTGGGGCATTCATCTGGCTGCCATGGAGGCAGCAGACCGAGCACAACCCCAGTAGCTACGAAAAGCTAGTGGTAGGATATGAATCACCATAATTTTGCTAATACCATAGCACTGAAAGCTGACTATGACTTCAAAATGTAGCCATAAAAAGAGTAAAAGTGCAGTAAGAAAGACTGCGATATTGCAGTCGAGGGCCTGTAGAGCCAAGAAGAAGTGGCTAACTCAGGTAGTCTCTGAAGTGACCTAAATCGATTGCCCTTCGCGTTGTGTATTCTTGGAAATAGATGTATGGACTGAAACAAGAAAGGATCTCATCTAGCATTGAGCGGGCATTCAATCTGGCGGTCACGATGTCTGAAGTGCAACGACGCGACGTTGCAAGAGACGACGTCCGCTTCAAAATCTTACTGGTTTGGTCTGAAATTGCTGCAGTAAGCCGAGTTGAAGGGCCAAGAAGGTGGCCAGTCGCGCGCAGATCAGCCCTTTTCTGCGCTGTCTGCTACCATTTCGCGATGTCCATTGCACCCAATAAAAGATCCATATGTCCCGATCGAGAGATCAGTTACGCGGATTCGATGCGTTTAGCGTTCAATTATGGGCGTCAAGGCTGATTGCTTCGTGCGAAAGCACAGTTTGGAAACGCTTTTCGTGAAGGGTTCCGACTTGACCTTCCAGAGTCTAATTCTCGAATTTTATTTATTTATTAACCACTGGCTGGCTGAGCAGTGAAACCTTATTTCGACAGCAGAGGTTGACAAGAAGTGCTATTAAAAAAGTATTGGTTGGTTTAGGACAACTCGATCCCTTACCGAATCTGATCTCCCTGCATTCATGGATCGGACTCAGTGTCGTGATTTCCTTTTGTATTCAGGTGAGAGTCGTGTTTAGATCTAATTAGCAATCGTTGAGTTACTGATTACAAAACGTTGTGCAGTTCAAAATACTGCACGCCCAGGCTGCCAGGTGGTTTTGCCCCGTATTAGAGATGAATTATCGTCTCGAGGTCATCAGGCACCGACGCATACGCCACACGTTGCATTAGGCAGCGCCAGTTAAAAATGCCCTGGGATGCCATTTTGACCCCGTCCGTCATCCGCAATGTGCGGCATGCGCGTCGAGGAAGCTTCTTCAGCGAACGACATGAACGACACGTTCCCTATTGCAGCCAAGTGTAGAAAATAATTAAGCGTGTCATGGAGCAGACAAGTAGTGCGTCTGCCTCTAGGTAAGCGTATGTGTGGTAGTGCGCCACGATGCGCCTGCTGTCTTGCCCCGCTTGGGGTGGAGTCCGAAACGGCGTTCGGCTAGCATCAGCCTCATTTTGGCGCACTTCCGGAGTAATGAAAGTGACACACTTCTTTGCTTCGAACCCGTTCACTTCTCACATGGCAAGTATCGGGATTGAATGTGAGCGGTACAGTCGGTATTCACTCAACGGAAAACTATACATTACTCGAGTAGGGTCCTTTATATGCGGAGGGGGACGTGGTTCCAGGAGTTCGCAGCTGCAGTAAGGCGCCACTTTGTCCGCCTCCCAAAAGGGTCGGCAGGGTGGTGTGTCGGATCACCATGTGCTTCGTCTCCCAAGCGCTCGTGCTATCTCAATGTGTAGCACATGCCATCAAAACCAAGATTCCTGCAGCTCGATACTCAATGGGCTTATGAAGACAAGCAGAAGCTGAGGAGGACTTGCGACAAGTACGTTGTGTCTTGGCTAATGGTTCAGGGAGTGTGGCTGGCCGTGCAGCAGCGCGGGTAGAGTATGGAAACGGCACTCAGGTATTACTACCCTCTATTCCTGTTCCCATGCTCTTCTAACCGAAGAAAGGTGACACGCTACCTCAGCTGCAGACCTACTCACTTTGTACATGGCTTGGACCAGGATTCACGAAAACGAAAGTGCAGCTTGTTTTCAGGTCTATCGTGAATCTGATTCTCGTATATAAAAAAAAATAACAATGAGTTACGATGTTTTCGCTCAGGGTGCATTAGCATTGGGGATTCCGCAGCAGGGGGGGGTCGTCTTGGTCCGAGAAATATCACGCCATAGTATATTAATTCGCTTTCGTCTGTTTGTTTGTTCTAAGTTTGTTTGTACAGTTTTTTGTTTGTAATGGTTGTTTGGTTCTGTCCGAAATTCGGTGTCGACCTGGATAAATACGACTTGTCACCCCATATATATAATTCGCTTCGTCTGTTTGTTTGTAAGTTTGTTTGTTTGTAAGTTTGTCTGTCCGGAAATTCGGTTCGACCTGAAGAACGACTTGGAGAGGTCGGGTCAAGGTGGGGATGGGTAGAGCATGGGACAAGAAATAAAAAGCACACTTGACCTATGCGAAGCCCCGCCCCGCTAGTGGGCGGGGCGCATTATGAAATTTTGGTTTCACGGGTAGAAATGTATCAAATTCGCTTCGCGGGCAGCAGCCATAAGATGAGTTGAAAACAAGGCCGATAAGTAAGGTTAGTAAGGAGTCGCCAGACTAACTGTGGCAGACACATCCAAAATGGGCGGGGCGTACTCAAGGTGGGCGGTGCTTCGCATAAAACTCAGTAACTCGGTTCGCGAGAGTGTTCAGAAGCCGCAAAAAGCTCAGTGCAGAATGTAAATATCTGGCGAGTATTGGGCATGCCCAAAGTGTGTTGAGATCCGCCCACAGTGGGCGGAGCTTGCCCTAAACCGCAGGATACTCACTTTAAAAGTTTGTAGCTCGGTTCCAGAGCACTGCAAAGACCGGAAAAACGTGCGTCAAGGTCGGCAAAGGTTAGCCGGTGAGGACTGTGGGGCAAAAACATTGTGGGCGGAGCCTGCTCCGAGGTGGGCGGAGCCAGACAAAAAGGTCTGTAAAACGGTTCCAGAGCTCTCCGAAGACCGGAAAAAAAACTTGAATTAAGGTCAGCAGAGGGTCGCCGGTGAGGATTGTGGGGCACGAAAATTGGGGGCGGGGCCAGCCCGAGGTGGGCGGAGCCAGACAAAAATTCTCCAAAACTCTCCCCAGGCACTCTGGAAGTCTCCGAAAAAAGTGGCGATTAAGTCAGCAGAGGGTCGAAGGTGGGACCGTTTTGGGCAAAAACGTTGCTCTGGGCGGAAGCCTGCTTCGAGGGTTGGGCGCGGAGCCAGACAATAAGGATCCGAGCACTCCGAAGTCCGGAATAAAGTGAATTCAAGTCAGCAAGGGGTCGCCGATTAAGAAATGTGGGGTATACATGTTGTGGGCGGGGCCAGCCCGAGTTGGGCGGAGCCAAACAAAATTCTCCAAAACTCTCCCAGAGCACTCCGAAGACCGGAAAAAAGTGGATCAAGGTCAGCAGAGGGTCGCCAATGAGGATTGTGGGGCCACAAAAATTGGGCGGAGCCTGTTTCGAGGTGGGCGGAGCCAGACAAAAACTCTGCAGAACGGTTCCAGAACACATCAGACACCGGAAAAAAGTGGATTAAGGTCAGCAGGGGGTCGCCTGTGAAGAGTGCGGGGCACAAAAAAAATTGAGCGCGGGGTCTGCTCTGAGGTGGGCGGAGTCAGACGAAGAATTTGTAAAACAGCTCAAGAGTACAGAACAAAAGGCGGATATCAGTTGAGTCTAGAAATATGTGAGAGAAGGTACGCGCGGCGAAGCCGCGCCCGCCCGGCGCAGCCGGGCCGTATCAGAAGGAGCCGCGCCGGCGTCAGCCGGCGAGGCGACTGGTTTTAAATACAGCATGGTACGCTTAACACATTAAGGGTGTGTGAGACTAACAGCCCCCCAGCTGTCGATGTGTCGTGGTTTCCCCGCCCGAAACTGCCGGTGTTCCTAGGTTACGGGGGACCGTGGAAAGGCTTAATCCTTGCGTACACCGCCCCAAAATTGCACGCGCGCAGGTGCATTTCGCCCGCGCCACAAGTTGCGTTTCGGGCGGCGTCCGTAGTCAAGAATAAGGCCTATTCCACGCTCGCCGTACTCGGACCCCGCGTGCAGTTCGCAGCGCGGGGAAAACTACGCACACATCGGACAGCTGGGTGGGCCTGTAGTCCTCATTACACCCTCCATGTCGTTCGAGCGCTCACCCGATGTGCCTTTATAGTGGATTTTCTGTTTCACGGGCGCTATAGGGGAGAGAGGGGTCGCATTTGGTCCGCTGTTACAGAGAGAAGTGGAGTAGGGGGTGGGGGGGGGGGGGGGAGGTGAGCGTCGTGTCTGCCTTCTTTTGAGGCGCTGAGCCAAATTTTTCCCAGCTGTTGACGTCACTTTGTACGACCCCCTCCCCCACTTTTTTAGGGGTTGGCGATAGGAATAGATAGCGATAGCTCGATCGTATTAGAGGAGGGAACTAGGAAGGGGGAGGGGTCGCGTGGGTTCGACCGAAATTCCCAGCTAATGATGAACCCTGTTCCCACTCGAGGATATTCCTCTTATTACCATTATTTCCTGACTTCAGCTTCAGGATGTAGCTTAAAGGAGATCCAAATTTATTTATTGGACATGTCAACACAACATGTAAACAACAAGAAAAACAAACATAACGAAACCCAGCAAATAGGTAAAACATTGATAATGTAAAGATCGTTTAAACATACTCACCAACATGTTTCTTGAAAGTGGCATACTTAGAAGGAAATATATTAGAACGTAACAGAGAGTTGAAATAGGAGCACACTCTACTACTAAAGAACTTCGACCGATATCTAGATTTAGCAGTGGTTACAGTCAATCTAAACGAAGCTCCCCTTGTACTAGCTGGCAACACACTGAAAAAGTCATGAACATTTAATTTAACCAAGGTTCCTCACAATTTTGAAGGTCATAAGTAAGTCATATCTTTTCCTCCTCCATTCCAATGATTTGAGACCGTAGGTGGAATTCCTAACAGAGCCTGAAGGAATACTGGAATAGCTAAGCCCCGAACATCTGAGCATTAACTTACGAGTAAAACTGTTCTGTACACTTTCTAGAGCCTTTATGTCCTTTTTCAGGTGGGGATTGAAAACTGTTGTCCCACATTCCAAAATAGGGCGAACGTAAAGTTTATAAGTTCGTAACAGCAAGCTGGCGTCATTAGTTCTAAGGGCTTTGAAAATATTGAAGATTCTCCGCAAGCCCTTTCCCACTAGAGCCTTATAATGCTTGCTAAAGTTCAACTTGTAGTCATATAGAAACCCAAGATCTCGAACTTCCTCTACGGACCTCAGGACTTCAAAATCAACTGAGTACTTAGGATTTAACTGATGCTCACCCAAACGCATCACTTGGGTTTTATCCAAAGATATGGCAAACCATTAGCCTTGGACCAATCCACCATCTTATTGATTGCTAATTGTAGTGAACGGTCTGATTCAACATCTTGAACAACTTTATAAATCTTGATATCATCAGCATATAGATTGCATGAAACACCTGGATTGGACAGAACATCCGGCAGATCTGCTGTGAAAATGTTGAACAGTACGGGGGAGAGCACACCTCCCTGAGGTACACCACTGCATGCCTCACGCACAGTTGATAACGAGTCCCCGACCCGAACTTGAAATGTTCTGTTATCCAGAAAATCCTGAATCCACTTAACAACCAGTGGATGGAAACCCAAATGAACAAGTTTATGAATTAGCACATTATGTGGTATCCTATCGAAGGCTTTAATGAAGTCAAAGTAAATTACGTCCACATTTTTCTTTTGATCGAGAGCTTTAGACCAGTCATTCATACAGCTGAGTAGAGAGGTTTCAACAGACCTACCGCTGCAAAAGCCATGATGAGATGCAGTTAGAATGTGATTCTTTTCCATGTGCTCAAGCAAGTACTTTTTGATGATTTTTTCAAAGACTCTGGCAAAGATTGAGGTCAGGCTAATTGGCCTGTAGTTGGCAGGACATGAAAGAGGTTCCTTTTTGGGTAGAGGTAAGATTATGGAATGCTTCCATTTACTGG